TGTTTTGACCTGCACTGCTGCAATACACTCTGTTTTCAGTGTCCCTAATTTCATGTTGTCCAAACCACCACACATGTATATACCGTGACTTTATTTATTAAATACCATTGGTCATTTAAAATGTAATAAAACCTAACAAAAGCAAAGCTGCATCTCTGCAGGCCAGCAGAGGTGCAGACTTTTAATGAGGTTCCAACCAGATCTCAAAACCAAACAAATTAACACCAACAAAGCAAATAAAAATCTGCAACTTTATTTATATACCTTGGGCTTCATACCTACAGGTGCTACAGTTCCATCTGTCATGTGTCTGGTGCTCTGTCACATTTGGTGTGTTCATTTTTACATTTTTTTTTTCTTTCTTTTCACCCCAGCCCCCTTTTTTCCTGTTTTGTACAGATTTTGGAGACGTACAGATTTTGGAGACATACAGTCAGATACAATTTCTTGATTTTTCTCAGTGATATTTCCAATGGTCTTTTTCCTCCTCCCCTCTGGTTTGTTTTTTTTTTTTTTTTTTTTGGTAGAACAGTGGGGGTTTTATCCTTTTCTAATCCAACTTTTAGGAAAACACCGGTTCTATAATTATATAAAATTTGTAATCTGAGGGGCAGAAGTTTATTGTAAATTCTTTTTGTTGTAAACTAAAAATACACAGTTCTAAGAGAAAGTTATGCCTTTCCTTGTCCAGCACCAGCCCCCAAAGCTGCCTCTCTGATGTGGGGTAGCCCTAAAATTCACCTTCCTGTGGTCTCTCAGTGGTTTGCCAGAGGCCCCGTGGTGCAAATGTGGGATCTGGGTGATGTCCCTGTGCTGGGAAGTTGGGAAGCACAGGGCCAGCCTGTTTTTAGCATTCCATGGTTTGCATTTTCAGCTCCATCCACCAGTCACTTACTGCCCCATCAACCAAGGTTTGATTAGCTGGACCTTGGCCACCTGCCTTTCAAAATCTGGTGGTGACCACAGTGGGCAGGAGGCTCTCAAACCTTTCAGATTGTTTCCCACAGTATTTGAAAGGAAAATGTTCTGATTCTCACTGAAATTAATTATTTTTCTTTTCCATTGACAATGGAGTTATTTTAGTTCCTATATTTTTTCAAATCCTACCCTTAAAAAGTTTTCCCCCCAGACAGATCCTTAGTAATACATTTTCAGAATTTACTACGAGGAAATGTAATATTCACCTCATTAAGAGCTTGGGTTTCTTTTTAACGGGGTTGGGTTTCATCTGTGCTTCTCCTTCTGTGTGCGACTTGCATTATCAAAACCAGCTCGTGTTTTAGTTGAACTAATTGCAACCAATTCACTGCCACGACAACTTGGATAAACAAGCTCCTGGTTTTCCCTGCTTGGAACCTTTTCCTGTGTGCATTAACCTGAGCTGTGCTGTTGATGGGCCGTGGTGGTCGCTCCCTTGTGGAGAACAAACCGGAGCCGGTGCTGGAGGCAGGAGCATCTCAGCAGCATCACTGCCCACCTGGGGACGTGGCTCTGCAGCATCCCATCATCCTCTGCCAGCAAGGACAGCCCCCCTGGAGCACGGCAAGGGCACAGACATTCCTCTGGGATCCGCGGGTCTGTTCCACCAAAATCAGTGGAAAGCTGGAGGCCAAAGGGTCGGGGACCACGTGTGGAGCAATGGGAAGGGGCCTGGCCTGAGGCTGGCTGCAGGGCTGGAGGAGGATCCCTCTTTTAGCTGGCAAACCACCCCAGCTTGGGGGTTCTCAAGGAAAACAACCTGCCAAAACCACCCCGGAGCATATCTTTGACCTACCAGCTGCAACTTGGGCTACCACTTAGAGGAAACTGTTCTCATGGAAAGTGAGGTGTTCCCTACGGAATGGCAGCTCACAGGAGGAATCCATTTTGGCATGACCTTCATTTCAGGAAAGGAATCGGGGACTCCTCATTTCCAAATGTTGTTCTTACACTTCTCCATTCTCACACTGTTTATAGTGCTCATTATCCCCCACCATGTCTGTAGTGGTGCCTCTTGTATCTCCCAAGTGTCTCCAGGAAAGAAGAGATGTTTCCAGTCCATAGTAAGTAGCAGCAGCCCTTAATGAGTTGGGAACTGAAACAATAGAGCATTTATTTAACTCAGTTTGTATTGCATGACGTGTCAGTACGGATGTCACGAAATAACTTTAAAATGATCAAGCATAGAACGTTTGAAATAACATTTTTAAACTTAAGAATAAAAAAAAAAAATAAAATAAATTTTTATGGTAGAATTTTTCTTGAATGAACAAAGTTTAACTTTGTTTTCCAGGGGAAACTTCACTGAAATCAGTATGATTTCATATGTATGCATACACACAAAGAGTTTTATTGAAACTGCTTTTTCTGACGAATTCCTGTTTTGACAAAATATCTGACCAGACCTTTATCCAATCAACCAGCATTATTGCACCTTTAAAAACTTTGTTAAACTTTTCTCTGATTGTAAACTCAGCCTGTCTCGTGGCTCAGTGGGACCAGAGGGAGATCTGCATCCCGTGGGCTCAGGCCCTGATCCATCGACCGAAGGAACCTGTTGGCTACAACAGTTCTCTGCTAACCAAATGTTGTCTATACGGAATCATTTCAATTTTGTATTGATGTGGTTTTAACCTTTCCTACCGACAGGGTTTGTAACTGTAGAACTGATGTTTCAGGACTGTGTGTGACACCCCCCCAATATCCGACTTAGTCACCCCGTGAGGTCTCTTTCCATGTTCTCTATGTGGTAGAAGCAGACTGCAGTTACCTAATCTAGTTCTTTCTCTGTTTCGGGGACTTTTAGACCAGTTTTTAATTTTTATTTTCCTTGTTTTGAAAGGAATGATGTTTTTTAAAGTTGGGGTTGGAGCTGGGGGGATGGGATCGGGGCATGACAAAGTAAAAACACAACCTTTTTAGTACTGGATTTTAAAATCTCATTGCATTCTCAACCATGAGCAGTTACCACTAGGGCTAACTGTGGGCAGGCTCTGCATCATTAAAGATAAATTTAGGATTCATTACACTAGCAGCATTATCTTGCTTGAGCTGCATTTTTTAAAGAAAATGGTATTTGCATATCTTTTTAAAGTGTCATTTTTAAAAATAAATTAAACCACCGGCTAGGATTTGACACAGGCCACTTAGAACACAGCCCTGATACTGGCATAACCTAATCCAGAAAGATTTGTTGTTGTATTTTTGTTTTGTTATTTTGAGGTTTTTTTAATATTTAAAATAAAAAAATTGTTACTTTTCTGTATGATGTGCATGCAAATTTACCGTAACTCTTTTTCTTAAAACTTTTTAGTGCCATTTCTAGTATATTCCTGTAAATGTCAGTTACTGAAAAAGAAACGAGTCAATGTAAGTAGTTTAGCTTGTTTATTGCAAATTGCTGGCCTCAAACACAACAGAATTAAAAAAAAAAAAAAAAAAGAGTTAGAAAGTAATCTTTGATGTTACTGGTAATCACGGACCCTGGTCCTGGGGCATTTGTTTTGTTTTCATAATAAAAAGAAAAATTGTTTTGTGTGTGCAGTTTGATCCCATATTTTCCACCCCTCTCCTCCTCCCTTTCCTCATCTCCTTTTTCAGGTGTGGCCCTTGCTCCAGTTGCAAGCCTTGATCGAGCAGTGCCATACACAAATGTAGATTTACTGAATCCTGGTGCTGTGAGTCTTGGAATAATTTGAAAGTCATTTTGCAAGCTCAGCTGTCAGTGGAGTGTCACACTAAGGGGGGCTGACTGCCTTCAGGGTATGGAGCAAGTCTGGGGGCTCCGAATCACAGCTCAGTACCAGGTGTAGAGGTTCTTTAAATGCACCTTTCTGTTGGTGAGGGAGACACTCAGCTACTTCCGTGTACCTGGGCTGCCCAGGAAGGACTTTGACTCTTCCTAGAAGCCTGCAGGGGTCTTAGATTGTGTGAGAATTGCACCTGATTGAGGTAAGTTCAGCAGAAAGGAGATGGACGTTTCACCCAGGTTTCGTGCTGGCTTCTTTCAAGCCACCAGAACACGAAGGAACCAGAGGGACTTTCTCACCTGCTCCACCAGCCAGACCCTGCAGGTCTGTGAGCTCAGGGTGACCTGGAAGGCACAGCTTGGAAAAGGGGGGCCTGGAGCAGCTGGTCACAGTCCCAGCAGAGTCTTGACATTACTGTGTGGTGGCCAGGATCTATTTTAGTCACTGCAGAGGATTCAGGCTGGGTTTGCTGTTCGGTTTCTCAACTGTGTGCCTGATGGTTTATGTGTGAGGTGAGGGTTACACAGCCAGGCTTCCCCAGGGTTAATCTTTCTCTAACCCTGTTCCTGCTCACTGGGTTTCAGAGCCAGGATCTCCAAGGTTTCAGCAAACCTGTTTTGCTTCCCTGTTGTTGTATCAGTGATACTCCCAAAGGAAGTGTTTGTTCAGCCTGTCCTCTAAACACTCTCCTGTGAGGCAGATGAGGATGTCTTCTCTAGCATTTACTGTTTAGTTATTTCTAGGTCAATCAAGCAGTGCTGTTTCTTGCAGACTTGATAGTTAAAGTTCAGCTCCTGCTGATATCTGTACTCATGGGGAGGTCACACCCTAAATTCTGGGTCCTTCACTGCAAGGAAGAAAGACATGGAAGGGGCTGCCCAGGGAGGTGGTGGCATCACCATCCCTGGAGGTGTCCAAGGAACAACTGGATGTGGCACTCAGTGCTCTGGTCTGGTTGACAAGGTGGTGATGGGTCGCAGGTTGGGTGCAATAATCTTGGAGGTCTTTTCCAAGCTTACTGATTCTCTGATTCAGTGTGACAGCCAGAGGCTGATCCTCGTCCCTGAATGCACTGCTGAGACTTCAGGGCTGTTGGGCTTGGGGAGCTGGTGTTCACAGGTACAGTGGTGGGGCTTTGGAGCCCCAATAGTAAGTGAGGCAATTCCTCCCAGGTGGGAACTACCTGTGTGGGGATGGGGAGGGCCAACAGTGTAATCCTCAGGTGTGCCAGAGCAGCTGAGGTGCAGGAGAAAAAACAGCTGCTCAGAGTGCTGCATTCAAATCATTTTAATGCACTTTATCAAAGATGCTACAACGGTGTTTTAAACAAGTGCATCAACACCACACAACTGGCTCAAAGAAACACTCGGTCACAGCAGCCACACCACAAACCTGCTGTGACCAGTGACACACAGATATGGAAAACTACAGTCACATTCACAGAGATGGAAGGACAACTCATCCTCTTCTTCCTGTACTGTCACATCCAGCCTCAATCCTGGAAGAATTTATGCACACACTTATGTTTTGAGTCTTGTATAGTCCAAATTAACACTGCAAATAACTGAATTTTGGTTTACCAGCCACATTAACAAAAAGAGACTGATTATACCCAAAATAACCATCTTTCTTACTGAAATTAAAAAGAAAATAAGTGTTGGGTTTCTTTTTCTATAAGAAAAGAAAATGAACAGCTGGTTTGGGGGATGTGCTGTTCCTTAAACTCCCAGAGTTCACGTGCTCCCCAGGGCTGCTGGGCAGGCCCAGAACCCACCTCTCCTGCCTCTCCAGGTCGCCTCCACCCGCAGTTCCCAGGGGAGATTTTGGACCAGCCTCCTGCCTGTTTGTGTAAATAATCACCTGTTCACTCAGCCAGGAACTGGAGGCCCAGGTGGGTCACACATCCCTGGCAATGCTCTACCTCACCGGGCACCGGAGCACCGGCAGCTTGCCAACCCTCGCTGGTTTGTGAATCTCATTGAATACCCAGTTGAAAAACATTTATTCACTGACATACTTCTCTTCCAGAGCTAGTCCTGACAAGACCAAGAGGGCTGTTTGTGTTCAGAGCAATGCACGGGGAAGGAAAGCAGCGAGGTCCATCAGCAGGTTTAAATCTACGAGCACACACGTAAGATACCAAACACCAACACATGCAGAAATAGTTACTTTTAAAACATAATGAGCTGCCTATTGTTTGCAGTGCTATGGATCAGGGCTGAGAACACCAAACCCCTACGATCTCACGTTAAAACAGGTGTGTTCTGCTCAGCACCTTGAGTTCAGCAAGGTTGAGTGTACGTGTGTGTTGCAGCATTTAACCCACGTGGGAGAGGTGGAAGAGGTTCTTCACTGGATTAAAATAAATAAACAAAAGTGCTTCAAAAATGCCAAGGAGGTTTCAGATAAATATAATAGAAGAAATGACTGTGCCTGATTTTAGGCAGGTAAATAATCCATACTGAAGTCAACATCAAATACTGATTTGCCTGGAGTTCAGCCCGTGCCCAAGCGCTGCTGGGTTAGACACGCGTCCTAGGCAGGACAGAAATGGACTCTGTGACTTCACCCCGATGTTACATTTTAATGATGAGCCCTGGGTACGTCATTTACACCCCTGGAAGTGGTAGTTTTGTTTTTAACGAAAGATTCAGGTGCTTGCTGGGCTGAGTTCCTCAGCTTGATCTTGCCTTGAGCAAGTCGAGATTCAGCGGTAACGGAAACAACCTGAAAGCAGCCTCTGTGCCCAAGAGCTGCAATGGAAGTGCTCTTCCCTCCTAAAATCCTTCAGTTAGTTGAAACAATCCCAGACACTACTTTTAAAATACATGCACCTAATCTACAATCCAACCTGAATTAGAAGTTAAACCCTTCCAAGCTACTGCATGCACTAAAACTTGAATGGAAAGCAAATTTCAGTGGACTCTTCCCTTCCCCAACTGGACTCAGGGGTAGGTACTGCTGTGTAGGACTTTCCTCGTGTCCCTTAGGAGATGTGTGTATTTACAGTAGCTTTCTTCCTTTGCTTTCCTGGGCCTGTCCCTCTCTTTCAGGTGGTTCACTGGGTGATCTGCTCCCAAAGCTGGGCCAGGGATCTACCTGCATGAAAGGAGTCAGCTCCCCTGACTCCAGAAGTCCTGTTATTTCCATGATCCCACACTGTGAGATCAGAGAGGGCCCTTGGCTTTGCATGGGATAAAACTGCAGAGCACCTTTCCTGCCAGGTGTTGTGAAGGCTTGGATTAAATTCTCAACACGTTCTTTCCCTCTTCCTCCCCACAATAAATGACTCCATTACCTGGTTGTAAGAGACCACTTCCAGGGCAGGAATTAAAGGGCGACAGGGCAAGCAGAACAAGTAGCAGCCAGGTGGTTTTGGAGATCAAGTTCCCGAAACCATGGCCCTGATGGAAATGGATCTGCGCCCACCTCTGCCCCATCAGCATTCCCGGAGCCCTGGAAATAAGGACTTGCCAGTAAAATGCTGGCTGGGGACAGGCCCAAATGACAGCGGGTGTTTCTCAGGGTACACGAGCCACTTACAAGCGACACATGGTCCAGCACGGACCCTGCCAAGATGCTGGGCAGCAACAGGCTCGTGAGCTCCCAAGCGAGGCTGGTTTTGTTGCACACACGCAATGACATGCAAAATGGGAGTCTATCAACAGCAAAAACAAACAGAAACTCCAGCCAGCCTGTCTGGCCTATCCTGTACACGCTGCTTCAGCTGCACCTCTGAGAGAAGATGGTGCAAACCCACCTCCCCCAGCTCGACACGAGTCTGGTTTCTCTCCACGCGCGGCTCCCTAATTTAAACCCGCGGAAATCACATAATGGCACAAAACTTGGACTGCCCCGTGTCCCTGGAGACATCCAGCTTGTTTTTGTCCCGCACCAGGATGGCCTCATTGCCGTACTGCGAGTACCACATGCTCCGGCTCCGGCTCAGGTACGTGTTGGGAGGAGCCGATTCCAGTTTCTGCTGCTGCTGCTGCCAGATGAGCAGAGAGGTGTCCCTGTAGCGCAGCCGCGCGTAGCCCTCGGACAAGGCCTTCTCGGGCAGGGGCACCCTCCCGTTCATTAGTGTGTCACTCATCTGCTCCAGGAGAGCCCCAACCACGGGAGCTCCTTCCCAACAGCTCCAAAATACGCCCCGTTGGGTCGGTCTGGGTCGATCGCTGCTGCTGCTGCTGCTTTGAGCCCGAGGGAGAACATCCCAGGGGACGGCTCTCGGGATCCACGGCACTCAGGAGAGGGAGAAGGGATACACACGCCCCAAAATCGCAACGGGCAGCCTGGCCTCGCTTAATAAACAAACCAGAACTTCTGAAAGCTCATCCGGGGGTGATGCTGCTGAGTGTTTCATGCTGTGAAGGGACCACACGCACGTGAGCTGCTTGCTGACAGTCTGTGGAGTATCTCAGTAGGTGTGAGCGGTGGCTCCGTGGCCCTGGGCTCGGTCTGCAGCCAGGCAGGACGGGATGAGCGGTTCTGGAGGAGCTCTGCTTCCCTGAAGAATGGGTCCCGAAGCCATAGGGCAGACCTAGGAGGTCAGACCAGCGAGGTCGCCAGTGCCCAGGCCCGTGCGTGGCTTCTCCACCGGTGACAGGAGTGATGGACGGGCGCTTGGCAAGTCACGTGCTCAGGGATGCAGGAGAAGATGCTGCCTCGGCCCTGGTTATGGTACCCGAGCTGGAGGGCCGGCACCTCCCGACGGCACCTGCGGGGCACAGCGAGGGTCACCCCAAGGGCCGCCAGCGAGGGTCCCTGCCCTGCGAGTGTCCCTTTCCGTGCCCCCCCCCCGCTCCCGCCCGTCCCCGCGACCCCTTCCACCGGCTCCGCGCACCGCCCACGGCCCCCGCGGGTGTCCCGCACGCCCCGTCCCTGCGCGCCCCGCCCGGGGCTCCCCCGCACACCCTCCTGCGCATCCCCCCGCGGGGTCCCCGCGCCCCCCGCCCGCGCCCCCCCGGCCCCACCGTGCTGCGCTGTCCGGCCCGGCCCGGCTCGGCCCCGGCGCCGCTGGGCTCGGCCGAGCAGCCGCCGAGGCTCCTCCCCGCAGTGATGCGCTCGGGAGGAGCCAGAGCCGGGACGGGGCGGGCGAGGGCGGGGGCACCGGGGGGCGGTGGGAGCGGTGGGCGCTGCGGTGGGGAGCCCCACGTTGGGGTCCCGGGTGTGGCAGTGGGGCACCCCGAGTGGGGTGCGTGGGTCTGGGGCTGACGATGGGGGTCCTCGCGGTGGGTCGCACGGGTGCCAGCCAGCACCGGGTGCCCGGTGCGTTTTAAAGGGACATCCAGCCCAGCGTGTGCTGAACCCGTGCTGGGAGCAACTGGACGAGCCCGCTGTTGCCGTCCGGCGCTGCCCTTGGGAGAGGGGCTCTCCCGCCTGCCGGAGGTGCCGGAGGGTCCCAGCCCAGGGATTTTCAGCCAAGTCTCTTTTCTGGTGGGCAACTGGTGGAGCAGCTGCTTGTGCTGGGAGGGTGCGGGTACCCTTTGTAGCCTTTCACTTGCCTCAGGCACCGCAGTGCCCGCCTGTCCATGGGGTGAAGGCAGCAGGGGACACCCCTGTGTGCTGGCAGCCTCATGCCACCCTCACTGCGAACTGCGTGGAAAAGGAGCCTGACGGAGCAGCACCTCCTTGACCTCCTCTCGTCATCGCTTGTCTGCTCTGCATTTCCTTATCCCGTCCGTCCCCTGGCAAGCGCAGTACAAAATATGTTTTGAAGAGAGCTGTGGGGCTTATTCTTTTCCTGATGATGCTAAATTTAAGCTCACAATCTTCTTATCTCCTGTGAACGCAGCGCCATCTAATCTCCTGCGAAGGACCCAATACACTTACCCATGCAGAGCTGCTCCCGGCGCTGCTCCCGTTCCTCTTGGCCTTCACGGACACAAACAAGAGGCTGTGGTTTACTTCGTCAGAGAGAAGGCATGCTGCAACTCCCCATTCCCAGCAGATTCAGACCAAACACAAAGAAGAGGGAAGAAAACAAAACAAAAAGAGAAATGACCACACTATTAAAACGTTTATCATCAGGAATAGCCTGACTCTGCTGCTTAATCCGCCTCCTGCTAGCGCAGAGAAGCCGGCCCTGCCCCGCTTCGTGGAAGCCGCAGAACAAAGTGCAAAATCCTTTCGTGGAACAAGATTAAGGGTTTTTGAGGTGTCTTGGTCTTCTCTGAAAAGTTACCAGTTCTGTTATCACCAAACTCTGGGCAAACAGGAGAAGCTGGTAAGTGGAATTGTGTATAAGATGAGGCAAGGAGAAGGATTGGAAACTACTGAGCTCCAAAAGCCACCAACTGTTCTGACCATCCACCCTTTGCCGTGAGCCCCAGGGTCGTCTGCCAACAGGAGCCTTCCCAAATAAGCCTTGGAAGCAGCAGCAGTGGAATGGATGAGGTGAAACCCAGGTGCTGCCCAGCCAGCGGATCAGATCGTTGCTCTCCTTCCTCCAAGGAATCCCTGTATCTGCTTTGCTTTCCCCGAGCTGCCTCAGGCCGTACCTCTGCTGTGCCATGGCTGCAGTGCAGGGCTGTGCCAGGCTGTTTTGCCCTTGCCCAGCTCCCTGGGACTGGGATACACTCCAGGTCTGTTTGATTTGGATGGGGAGGCTGCTGGGGTGAAGCCCAGTGAAGGGTGGACGGTTAGTGAGGATGTCCCGGCAGCGTGATGTTCGTGTTGGGAACTGATTAACTGGTTGTTACTGGTATTCAGCACAGCTGGGGCATCCCAAGCCCCAGAAATAAGACTATTTCCTCCCAGAAATGCCCAGGGAAGTGCCAGCTCCACCTGCTTGGTGCCTGGGGTCAGAGCCCTTTTCCAGTGGAGTTGCACTCTCAGGCATTACCTTTATCCAGGCTAAACAAAAAGTACCTGTGGCTGAGTGCTCCTGTTGCACCAGTACAAGAAGAGAATCCAGTTCATCCCTTCTGCCTTCACTGAGCTGTGCCAGGTTAATTTTCCTGCTCCTTTCCACAGTAGCAGGCAGTCACCCCTGTTGTTGGCTCTGGGAGGTGGGTGCCTGCGGGGAGGGGAGAGATGAGCTTTGCTGGCAGCCGTGCAGGGCCGTTAGCAGGAGGATAATTGCAGTGACTATTCCAGTGTGCACCTTGTCTGGGCAGGTAGATCAGGTGTTTACAGCAGCAGATGAGCCAGACAGAGCATTATTGTCTGCACTCAGTTGTTTGACACGGCAGCACTTTGGTAACCGTGTGATTCCCCCCTCACTGATCGTCCAGCCAGAGCTGCTGCTGAGCAGCGGGTTTGCCTGGTTGTGGCTTGCACAGGTTTCCTAAAATAGTTGGTGAAAGGAGATCACAAAATCTAAGGGCAGGATGTATATGGCACGTAGGCTGCAGAGGACATGTGACAGCTGCTGTGCCAGCAGCCGGGACGGCTCCTGCTCTGGGAACTCTGGCTCCAGCTGGAGACACCTTGTCCAGGCTGCTGGAAGCCAGCAGGGCTTTGGGATAGGCTTGATGCACGCTTGGACTAATCCAGAAGGTGGCAATGGCAATCCACAGACACTGGCTGGCTGGGAAATGGGGATCTCCTGGCGGTATGGCCCTGGTGTTTTAGGGATCCTTCCAGAGGGCTGCTCCAAAGGGGCAGTGCAGCAGCTGCTTCTCTGCATGCACTGACCCCCCAGGGAGTCAGCTCTTCTCCCAGGAGTAACACCAAACATTATGAAAATGCTCATTACTGGGAAACGGGGCCATGTCCCAAGTATGTTTGGGTTGATTTGTAAGGTACAATCTCCTTGCATGTTAGTGCATTTAAACTAACTTTCTTCCTTCCTTCCTTCCTTCCTTTCTTCCTTCCTTCCTTCCCTTCTTCCCTTCTCTCCCTTCCTTCCCTCCTTCCTTTCTTCCTTCCTTCCTTCCCTTCTTCCCTTCTCTCCCTTCCTTCCCTTTCCCCACTAGTTTTGCCTCTTCCATGCTGGACTGGGATATTCCCAAGCAGCTCTATTACATTCCCAAACTGCCACCACTTCACCAACCATTTACCCCCTCACACCCATTCTGCATCGGGATCCAGGCTGCAGGGGCTGCCTGCCAGGCTCCTTGTCTCTGTGTACTGAGACATTTGGGGATGAAAAAGCACAATGTTCCTTCTGGCAAGATCTTTCCAGTGCATCCAGTCACCTCTTGGGCTTCTCTCATGTAATAAACTAAAATAAAAGCTCATGAAGTGAAGTCTGTTAGCCGAGAGAAGCAGCTCCACGCTCGGTCCCCAGCAGAGGGTAGTGTCACTCTCTGCCCTGCCTGGCTGTCCTCTGGCTGGCAGTCATTCCCTGGAAGGCTGGCATTCCTTGGCTGTCTGTCATTCCCCGGCTGTCTGTCATTCCCTGGCTGTCATTCCCAGCAGTGCCAAGAGGCAGGAGAGAGGAACACCAGCTCTAACACAAAACCCAACCTCTCTAATTTATTCAAGCTCCCTTTTAGCTTTAGCTCCACCCTGGAAGCAGCGTCTGGGTCCTCTCCACATACCCCGTCCTGTTGCAGGACAGTTGAGCAATTTGGAGCTCACAGCTCACCAGTGTGTGCTGGATTCATGCTCTTCCTGAGCCTCGCTGTACAGGTTTTGATTGGTTTAATTTTTTCTGCTCTCAGAAATACCTCTGCCATCAGCTGTTTCAGTTGTTGCAGAGGTAGGCAAGAAGCATACTTGCTTCAACACCTCCCACGCAGAAGCTGGCTTTGCAGCTGCAGGGATTGTTCCCAAGTGTCCAGGGGCCAAGAACGCTTTTTATTACACAGTAGAAAAGCCAGGCTGTAGCTGGCAGCTTTAATTATGCACATATAATAAACTCCTCTGTTGTCGTCTACCTACAGACCTGACCTCAAACGGCAGGCTGGTACCGAGTCAACCAAAATTATCCCTGGCACGACTCCACTGCTTTCAGTAGCCTTGTGATTCCTGCCCATGGGTGCTGTTGGAGGGCAGAAATGCTTCATGAAGAACTAAAATAATGAGAAAATTATTCTGAGAAAGCACCTCCGCGGGGTATGGGGAGTGTGGGCTGAAATCACAGCCTGAATAGACCCGGGGCAGGGTGTAGCTCTGATGGTGAGACTGGAGCGTATGGATGCTGCTCCCTCTTGGATCACACTGTGCTTATCCTGCCCTGACCAAGGGGTAGTGGCACGGCTGGACTGCCACTCAGGCTGAAGGAAGTGCCTTCTTAAAAAAAAAAAAAGAGCCTACCAAACTTTCCTTGGAATATCAAACAATTGTTTTCTGTTCTTTGGAAGGATCCTCCTTCCTGCGTTGAAAATGAAGGATCATGGCAGTAGAGTTGCTCTTTCTTCTTTATCTCCGCTTGGCTCCATTTGGAAGAGATTAGTGTTGCATTTGTTTGACATCCAGGTTAATAGCTTCCCTTCGTCCCAGTCTCGGCTTCCGGTTTTGGCTATCTGGAAAGCCAGGCTGGAAATTAATCGGCAAACTCTGGGGAGAGGATCTCGGAAGAAAACTCAGAACAGATTTGAAAAGAGGCTGTTCTAAGCTGTGCTGATTTGGATGGAAGCCACCGGTGAAAATTAGAGATTTTTCAAGAGATTGCTGCCAAGGAGTTAATGGCTGAGAGCTGAAGTTTTTAATAAATACACTGGTAATTAATTATAGGAGTTGTCCTCGTGTTTGAAAGTCAAGGAACACGATAGCTTGTTTGGGTTAAACATCTCCCCTGCAGTATTTGCAACCTAAACACGGGATGACGAGTGGGAGTGAGCGGTCAGACAAAGCGGGGTCTGTGTGTGCGGCCCCGGGGAGGCGGAGGAGCCCCGGGACCGCTCCTGCCTCTGCCCCGGAGGGTTCGGGCCAGGGGGAGCAGGGAAGGGGTCCCTGGGGGGGGGGACCCCGCTAAGTGCGGGTGCCGGCGGGGAGAGCGAAGCAGCATCGGGGCTCTGGGCGCCTTTCCCGGAACAGGGAGAGGAGCGGCAGCGGCGGGAAGGAGCGAGGGATACAAACAGGGAGGGGAAAAAAAGAAAAAAAAAAAAAAAAAAAAAAA